GACCTATTTCTTGCTTGTATCGTCGATCATCTCATCGATTCCAAAAAACCGACATCTCCTTAGCCATTTTTCGCACTAACCACATACAGATATAAATCAACAATTAATCACCTTTTTGACCTTGCCGGTTTATTAAGTAGGTTTCCACCGCAGAGGTGGGTCAGGGAGGTTTCCCAGTTTTGTGAGCTCTGCGATAATGTTGGAAACTACGTTTTTTGATGTATTCAAACATCGAGAGATCCGGGAATAGCTGAATTCTCGTGGCATTTGAAGATCTTCATGATGAACTAGATAGAAAAAATCAGTGGCTGTAGTGGTGGTTTTGCAGAATCTATGTTGAGAGTTCAGGTTCTTTACATCTTCCCCTCTTTTCACCGATAGTCTTTCGAATGTGATTCAATTTGACCATAGGTGCTCATCTGCTGCGTATTCTTGATCAGTTTGGAACGAATTATGTGGTTTGGTTCTTTCCAACTTCGAGCTCAGTTCTTCAAACCCAAACTTGCTTCGAAACTACGTTCATTCATCAGGCTTGATTGACATAACGGCAAGCTAATGTCACGAGAGACAACGTGTCTGTAAAGTTTTCAAGCAACTACTCGTGTAGGTTGCAACCTTCTCCCGCCTAATTGCCAGAGCTCATGCTCTTCAACTTGTGACAATGCCTTAAAAACGGTGTTTTCCGTAAAAGAGAAGGTGGTGTAGAGATTTTTACCAACAACGCATTGCAGCTGAATATTATCCAAGTAGACTGTATTTGGTTAGGCCGACGGTGGTAATTGAAGCTGAATTCACAAGGCAAGCGGCAGCGATCTGCGGCGATTACCGTAATCTTCCATTGGGAATTCGATTCCTCCTCATCACAGCGCGTGACTTCGTGGGAAGTTAGAAGTTGAAACTGCTAAATGGGTTTACCAAAAAAAGCTGTGAGCCTCCAAAGTTCGCTTAGAAATATTTCCAATTGAAGAACGAAGCTGTCCGCACAAGCGCTTTAATGACTTAGAGATAGTACTCTCCCTTGTTGCTGGGTGTTGTGGGTTTGCTTCCCGCCGCGTCGCCAAGGTTCTCGCACTTTTTTCCAATGAAAGCTTTCATAACCTTAAATTAGGGGGCATTATGACGACGAAACTGGAGGTGTTTGGGCGAGATTTCAATCGTGTGTACTTGCCTAAAGAGCTGACTACAGCGTCCGCGCTGCCAGAAATCGCTTCACGCAACCCCATGAGCCAGGGCCCCGGACGAACAGCTGTTTGAATTTTCAACACATGTATGTGCTCAGCTATGAGTGGTGCGGTCTCCNACGAAACTGGAGGTGTTTGGGCGAGATTTCAATC